GGACCTGGCAGACTTAGCAACAGAACATGATTTCCTCAACATCCAAAAGAAATTCAAAATTCTCCAAGATGTTGTAACAGACCTGAAGGAGGAAAAGTGGATGAAAAGCTGGAGAAAATCATCCTCTGCTGTTCTCCTCATGGAATTGATACAATTATTGTCATTCATTGTCGTTGATGCTATGATGCCATAAGCTGATATCACACAGTACAGCAACAAAGCAATCTTGATTCTTTCCTGACTTAGGGAAAGAGCATTGCAATGAGTGCATGTGGCAACATATACAGTGCTGGGTACCACAGCCACATGAACAGACCTAGTGACATTGTGACCAGTAGCTCCCTACCTACTGCAACAAACACTGAGATCAAATTTGTTTCCACCTGGCTCTGTTATCTCAGCTCTTCTGGCTGCATATTAGGTGCCAAATAAAGTTGTCAAGTTTTAGGAATGGTATTACATGGTTGAGGAAGGACATTGAGACACTTGAGTGCATCCAGAGGAAGGCAACAATACTGGTGAAGGGTTTGGAAAAGACCTGTGAGGAATGACTGAGGGAGCTTGGGGTGTTTAGCCTGGAGGAAAGGATACTCAGAGGTGACCTTATCACTCTCTACAGCTTCTGAAAGGTGGATGTAGTCAGGGGGGGTTGGTCTCTTTCAGCAGGCAGCAACTGACAGGACCAGAGAGCACAGCCTTAAGATGCACCAAGAGAAGTTTAGGTTGGATGTTAGGAAAAAGTTTTTTACTGATAAAGTAATAAAGTACTGGGATCACCTGCCTGGGGAGGTGGTGGAGTCACCATCCCTGGATGTGTTTAAAAAAAAACTTAGTGCCATGGTTTAGTTAAGGTGGTGTTAAGGCATGGGTTGGACTTGATGATCTTGAAGATCTCTTCGGCCTCATGATTCTGTGATTCCTCACTTTAGTGTTCCCATTGAAACATGTCAAACTACACACCTTCTCTCACTCCTCCTCCTCCCCCTGTCCCTCTGTTGGAGCTGGAGAGGGAACTGGAGGCACAAAAGGTAAACATCATAGGCTAAGATAAGAGCAGTATGCTGGAAACAGCAGCGAGGTAAGGAAATGAAAAGCAACAACAAAATGATGGCAGGGGGCACAAAAAATGAACAATTCACATGGAAAACCCCTGACAAGAGAAAAGACAACACTACCTTGATCCAGAAGGGACCCCTCCTCCCCAGAAGAGATTCCCTTTCCCCCAAGCCTTGGCAATGACCTGACAGTGGTAGAGAACAACCTCTGGGTCCTAGCCAGGCCCCTGCTTGGCTTCTGCAAGTAATTGACCCTGTCCTAGCCAAAGACAGGACAGAAAGATACCCGAAACTCAGTTAGCATTAAAGCTTTGCATCTGGAATAATAACTCAAATTCCAAATTCAATCACTACTCTCACGCAGGCTTCAACAGGCTTCAGTCTCTTCTACAGGATTAACTTCAGTGTAATTTATAGTGACAGCTGACAGTCCAGGTCTCCTTTAGACATCTCAGAAGTTAATTTACCCTAGGAAATGGAGATAAATTCTTCACTTTTCCTCTTTTAAGAAACCAAACATCCTTCAACAACCCAAATGCAGCTGCCTCAGCCCTCAGCTGTACTACTTGTCCATTTAGGGGCAGGTTAGATGTAAATATCTGCAAGACTCTGGAGATGTGCATTCTAAAAGAGAGTTTTCACTGGAGATGAGTGAGAACCAACTGGTGACAAAAAAAGCAGATTAAAAAAAAAAAAAACCAAGCAGCTAATAAATCAACCAAAACCAAACCCCAAAACAACCATAAGGAAATGCAGGAAGTGAGCTGCTTTAGTAAGGTAATTCTTGATACCCAGAAGCCATGAAATTAGGTCTGCACTCCATTTTTCAACCCAGGCATATTTGGTTGATTCAATGCTCTGCCAAAGCAAACTGGAGAAGGAAGTCTCCTACACTCTGGGACACAGGGCTCAAGGTGCAGTGGCACTAGCAGGCTGAGATGATGTTTCACACAGGAGCACTTCTTTCACATGTCAGGCTTCACCCCAGGGTGCTGAGTGAGGTGGCTGATGCCTTTGTAAAGCCAGATTCCAAGGCTGCAAAATCAGGGTGTCCCCAGTAACTGGAGAAACAAAGAAAAATAATGTCATGCATGCCTTCAAAAACAAGCAAAAGCCACCCTGTGGAACAACAGGCCAGTCATCTGGCCATAAGTCTGAAGTAAAATCAAGGAGGGAGACCTCCTGGAGCCCACATCTGGACACAAGAAGGAGGAGACAATGACAGGAAGCTGTAGGCAAGGTATTACCAAGGGTCAGTCATGCCTCACCTCACCGCCTTCCACTACATAATTGTGGGGATGAGAGGAGAGCATCTCCTCCCATCTAGGCTCTAGCCAGGCTTCTGTAGCTGGGCTGTGACATTACAGTGTGGGAGGAATGCCAGGCTGGCAGGCAAGGACCTGCCTGGGTGGTGGGCCAGTATCAAGAAAGGTCCCTTGGGTCATCTCCATCCTTGGAGGTTTCACACAACTGAGTGAAGCATCTTCATCTGACTCCCCTGGCAGACCTTACTGGAGACCATGTCCCTGACAGTCTGATATACTCTTTGATCCTATGGATATGTGGATATGCATTGATACAAAGCATCTTCGCAATGACTTTGCCTTTTTTGCCTCAAAAGCTCACCAAGCTACCAGAGAAGGTGGGGGCATCATCAGTAATACAAAAGCAGGTTCCTAGAAAAGTCACACTTTGAGCAACAAGGGAAAACCCGAAGCATCAACACTGAAATAAAAGTAACTGCAGGAATCAGACTACAATACCCAGTGCCCTAACAAACAGTGATTTAGAAGCTGTGTCTACAACTTATGCCTTAATGGTGAAATATATAGACAAGTTGCAAGAACATCTCAGATGTACAAGGGTGCAGAAAATTGACACCTCACTTCTGAATTCTAACTACTACTGGTATGTTCCTGTGAGTACTGCACAGGGTACTGCAAGAGTAGATAGATACTTATTTCAGCTCAACAGGGGAGCATGGACAAAGGTGCTATGAAGTTACTAAAATTTGATTGGCAACTTCTAAATGGAGTAACTCTACTTAGAAATAGTTGCATAACCCATTCACAAACTGCTTCCATTCACAAACTGCTTGCAAACCTTGGAAGTTCTCTACAAAAGAAATCACAAGAAGACTTTATTTGCCTACAATACTAGGTCAAATTATTGTAGGCATCAAGTATATCCACATGATTTTTTGACTGTTGTGGAAAGCTACAGAACTCAAGAGGACCAAAACCTGTTCAATTGCTGATCTAAAAAATACAATATAAACAATCATAACAATTATATGGAAATTATTTCACCTTGTTAGGAACAGAAAAATTCTCCTAGAACAAAGCTCTCTGTACACCTTGAGACACTCAAGAAGACAAGAACAATTAATGTTTGGAAAATATACTTGCAATATAAGAGCTGACTGAAATGTACATTACACACACACACATTCTGCAAACATAGACAAACAAACTGGTTTCATATTAAACTAAGCAGCATGAAAATGCTCAGCAAAAACTGAAAGAAACAACTACAAGATAAAAGACACACAAAGATACAGGATGCCTTGACAGAGAAAGGTGAAAGAAAAAAACCTAATCCATCCAATGGAGTGACATTTCCTCTTTCTCTTCCTCCCTCTCTTAGTATTGTATTCACATTCATGCAGCTAAACTGTGTTTGGTGAAGTCTCATTTTTTGGTTTTGCACTTCTGTGGGTTAATTTTTGTCCTACTGATCTTCTCAGACCAACTAACAACATGGTCACTGAGTGGGGAGGACCACAGAATTACTGTAGTCTTGATTGAGATGAAATTAAACTACTGTATTTTGGAGGACAATGTAACTTTAGTTGCAATATGCAGCTGAGTATCTGCAGGTTAGCAGGAAGTATTAAAACACCCCCTGCATTTCTTCTCTCAGAAAGACCTGCAAAAATCTTGCTCTAAAGCAAGATATACATGAGACCATTCTCTTAGAAGGAGCTCACACTTTCTGAACAGGAACACAAATCAGTTGCCTTACAATGACAGCACCATTCTGCATATCAGCCCTTTCCAGTAATCTGATTTCAGGAGTAATTTATTTACTCTTTGTAGAACATGACTCTTGTAAATCTCAGAAGCAAAATGAAATGTGAAGCATAATGAAAAGGCAGATAATAATGGTAACATGGACTATGGGACTACTTGACACCAGCTTGCTAGCTACCAGTTGTTGCCTCAGCCATCAGATGTCTTCAACACAAATCAAATGAAAGTTGAACTTTTTGTTCCAATAATTGATAATGTATTATCATAAATATACAGTACCAAAATGTGTCTGGTAATACCATCTGAATAACAAATATTGGATTGAAAACAACTATTTAATACAGGTCACTAAATAAAATTTCCCTGAAGATAACACAATTTAAAAGCACCAAAGTCATGAAATTTTTGTTGTTTGCCTTCCCAAAAACAGGGACTCAGAATCCTCACTGCAGAGAAGATGAAAAATCTGCAAAAACCTATTATTTGGGATATTTCTTTTACTCTTTTTCTTTTCCCTTAATTTTCTTCTTTCCATAATTCTCACTGTTCTCCACTGCTATAGACTCATTCTCCTTCATATAATCTGGGATATAGCTGGAATTTACTCTCATTTAGACACATTTCTGCCTTTCATTCCTCGGGAGGAGATTAAAACAAAATCATGCACACAAGGTATTTGAGTAGAATTTTCTATTGCAAATAAATCAAAGGTTATCACCACCTTTTATTATACCATTTTTATTACACCATTTAATCTACTTATACTTATGGCAAGCATTCTCCAGCACATTCCTGGAAATGCTGCTCTGACATAAAACAAAATTTATATTTCTCTTTTCTTTACTTCTTTGACTAGGATTGCCTATTACTAGGTCACTATAAAAATAGTACATATATATTTACGCACTTTTACCTGATTAAATTCTGGCACACCTGGCATCCTCTAGGACATCTGTGATGAAAAGTGGATTAATATAATTACATTAATATATGCTTGTGTAAAATAAGACAGCTTTAACATTATTCTTAGAGTATCAATTCAACAGTGAAAGAATTCTCATCAACAACAGAACAGGCTGCCATCTCCACCACTAACCCCTGGAAAATGTACTAATAGCTTCAGTGATTTTTTTGGCATTTCACAACTCAGACGTATATCTGTATATCAGATCTGCACTTCACAGATGAGTTATTTATCTTATATATGCACACTCTCCATGTGTTCAAAACCATATGATCAAAATTACAAGTTTACATTCTCAGAACGTGATCTCTTCAAAGTTATCTAGGCCACACCATTAACTAGATGCATAATACAGAATGCTAAGTTATGTTTGCTTCCTCAGGTCCTAAAGCACAGGTTGAGGATTTGATCTCTTTTTATTCTTTTCATACTCTGCACCAGTATGATCAGAAATTTCTGTATCAGGAGACTGTGATCAGAAGAAGTAATTATTCTGAGGAAGGATGAAAATGGTGCAGCAGTAACTTCATGTAACTCAGTTTCTTAATTGGATACCATACCTGTTTATGCCACACTGAGAGCAACAAATCTAAGAAGCATAGTACTGTTAATTGCTGCCAATTTCTAATTCAAATGAACAGTTTCATATAAAACAGACTGGGGGTGGGTCCATGAAAACCCACAGACCAGGAATCATTGACTGAGACACTAAAAAACACCATCCAAACCAATTACAATACCCATAAAAATTATTCTCTTTATAATGTACCAGTAAAAAGAAAAAAAAAATTCCTTGCTTTACCTGTGTGGATCTTTTGAGATGGGAATAATGTGGGCACATTCTCTTTTACTGAAGACCTCTTCAATCCAAGATTTGGGGGGCTAAAAAGACATTTCAAATATAAATGCATTCCTGAACTTCGGAACGTAATGTCAAAAATTCCACTGTAATGACAATATGCTGTATATAGATAACTCAGAACTATTCCCGTCATGTAATGTTTGAGACTACATGCTGAAGCTACAACTCTGAACAGTCCTAGCCCTTCAACTCCAAGCCATACAGAATTCCCCAAGAAGATCAATATTTAAATTTACTGCCTCCATGAGAATTATTTAGATATTCTGTCAAACACATGTACAGTAGAAAAAGTGTCAAGGATTAATCAAAATTGCTTTAAATATTACATTCTTCTTCTGCCAGAAGACTAGCAAACTGCAATCTTACTAAAGCTGTGTCAATAAAGGCAAGATCTTCATTTTACCTGAAACAGATTGTTGAGTCCTTCTTTTATTATTCTTTACAAAGTCAAGAACAATTGCATTCTGGTTGTATTTTGCTGAACTAGGTCTAGAGCGAAATGCAAAAGCAGGGGCCCAGGCTGAATGATAGCCGGGCTTTCTCCCCTGCCTCCTGGAGGGCTGTGTCAGTGATGCCTGTTACAGCTCAGCAAACAGAACAGCGACTGTGGCATACAGATTTTTTTCAAAGAATCTCCCTGGAAATTTTTGAAGCTTTTTCTTCAGGTTTATCAGGATCAAATTCCCCAAAAGGAGCATTAACTTCTGGATGCCAAACTTTGAAATCTCTGGGACTTAATTAAGTAATTATTCTTAATTTTTATAGGTAAAATTTTAACTTAGTATGTACAATTTACAGCAGAACCTTAGCATTAATTTCTTAATCTAAGGTTTTGCTTAGATTTTTAGACTGATTATCATTAGGAAAAAGGGTTTGAAACTTCATGTTTTTTTACAGTCATCCATGACATCACAGCTGGGCAAATAAAAATGGAAAGAGGAGACTTCTGAACTGCAGACTTTTCTAGCTCTCAAGTGTAGCTCTTGATTCCTAGATTTGTAAAAGACTTCTGTAGCATGTACATCTCCTTTCACAAAACTCTGATTATTCTGAAACTGTCATAATTTAATTACATTTCAACAACAAATTAATTCCCTGTCACTACTATGAGGTACATATATCTCAGCCATCATTGACATATATCCTTTTCACCACCAAATCCTAAAGGAAGCCAAAATACAACTACACACTCCTTCCAACTGGTAAATTTCTGCTCTGATACCAAAGACATTAAGCCAAGTTTATATTGCAGCTTTCCTCCTGATTTTCCTCTAAGCAAGTCCAGACTCCTTTGTTTGGGACTTTTGGCTTCTCTTTTCTCACCAGTCTGAGGATTAGGTTTGCTGCTTATTGCTGCTTATTATTTGGCTTATTCCCTGCTACAGAAGAGGCTTTGGAGATTTCTAGACTGATTTAGCCAATGGAGTGGCAAGAGTTTGGCTCGGAAATTTAAGGCACATGAGTAGTTTTTAGAAAATTGCTTTAAATCACTTTTCCAGTATCTTTAATGTTTGAGATCCTTGCATAATATGGTATTAAAGGGACATTATCAGGTCAAAATGTTCAAAAATTAAGGTTCGTAGAAGTAAAGAAAGAGATCAGAGTATAATATATAAGGAAACATACGCACCACCCATTTCTTTAAAATGCTGTTGAGCACTGAGAGCAGACAAAACCTAAAAACATAGCCTAGCACAGAGATCCTTCAAAATAGAGGGGTGCTATCAGGAAGGAGAGTGACTGTGCCACCATCCCGCTGGGGTGGCTAGGCAGGCACACAGAGCTTGGCTCACCAGCCTCCAGGGACAGGGCAATGCAGCCCTGTGATCCCTTGCTGCGCTGCTCCCCTCACTGATTTCACACCACCCATCCAAAAAAACACATTAATGCTTCAATTTTTTGAGTCTGCTTTCTTCTGCCTCAGCCCACACATCCCTCCACCACCATCCCTGCAAAAGCTTGCTGAAGCCAAAGCCTGTAGATGCACTGTGACAAATAAACACTGCCAAGCAGGGGGTTAATGTACGCTCTCCCTGCTCTGAAATTAGTTTTACCAAACCAAGAGTGGCAGGAAACATTCAGCTCCTTCAAGACCAGACAATAAACACTGTTCACTGGTCAAGTACCAAACTCAAGAAAATTAGGTTACACTGTCAATATGAAACAACAATCTTTTAGTATCCTTGGCTTTACTTGGTCCCACTTTAGGGTGGAAAGGCATAGACACACATATTTCCTAATGAAACACCATGCTGTTCTGGACACTGTTCAGTTCGCTGCAAAAGAAAATTAGAAGGTACACATCTGTGTAGCAGAATAATTTCATTACTGAAACACAATTAATTTTTGGACAAAACAACAGCAATTGCTTTTAATGACACATTGTAGCTCCAGACAGTTGCAGATAATTAGAAATCACACAATGACTAGCCAGTTTATATAACAGGTTACTTCATTTACGCAAAGTACAGTTGTGTTGGAAACTAGGCAGAACAATCAAGTTATAAGTAGCTTACTGAAACTGCAACAAATTTGTACTGATAACAGAGAAACACAGTACCTTAGCCAAAACAGTACTTTAAGAGCTGAAAAGTTCTGTCAAGTACCATACCTCAGCTCCGCATACACTCTCTGTTTAATGAAACCAGCACAGAATGTTACTTCCAAAGAGCTGGGGTTTTCTAAAAGATCTTAACTACTAGTGCCTGTATTTCTATTTCTGCATTGTTTAACAGGTTTGTCAAAATGTTAGGGGGAAAAAAAGTTATGCGTCATATACAACTTTTATACAACCTTTTTCTACCCTCAAAATTATTCGATTAAAGCAAACACTCTTTAAAAAAGCAACAGGTGGTCATGTGTCTAATAGAATTGCCTCAGTACTCAAGCATACAGTACCTGTAAAGAACCTTACTGATGATGCCAATAATCAGAAACACATGAAATATCCAAACTGACTTTTAGTGGCTGTGAAGGAAAGAGGTACTATTTTCAGGTGTGTATGTGAGATGTCAGCATAGTACAGTCTGTGACAAACCTCTATTCAAATACATTTGAGGAGGGAAAGAACTTCCCCTTATTATAAGTAGTGCAAGCAGCAAACAGCATCCTAAAATACCTTAAACCCTTTAAAAATTAACTTCACATGTAGTAAGTAATTTGCAGTAACATTAGATACCTGAAATGCAGCCACAGTTCCTGTAAGCTGGTACTCAAGACTACTTCACAAGAGCTCAGGGCTTAAGCATGCTGGTATATCTTGAACCCTTCCTTACCCCTGAAAACTCTATATGGCTTCATTACCAAGTGGTTAAATTACTGCCAGCATTAAAGAGATTTCCAGCTTAAAAGGCTGTCTCACACAAGCTTTTCAGAGCAGGAACTCTGTGGTTCAGCATCCACTCTATGCACGCTTACGGTACGAAGTAGTATAACAACTGCTAAACAAAGAATACCACTCAGGATCCACGTAGGGCAGAAAAACATTGCAAAACTCCATGGTCACATGCAGTAAAATATGAACTCATGAGAGGTTTTCAATGGCCTCTCAGGTCTGCTAGAATTTCCTTGTGTTCTGGCTACCCTATAATAGGACAACCACCTGGCTCTGTAACACAGACATGCTATGGTTCCTTTGATCTCCATCACTGCAACGCATGGGTACATCTGTTACTAACTGGTAGCTTTTGCTCTTCCAGTCTTATCTACTTCTTTGCCCCAGTGTTCAAGATTCTGCACATCTGTGAAAATACACAACTATAAGCAATTGAATTCTATAAATACATAACTATAAGCATCAAAAAAATTTTCATCACTAAATAAAAAATATTGTGCAAATAATTTCATTTGAATGCTTCCACTGTTCACCTGTCCACTGGACAATCATAAAACAACTATCAGCTAATCTCAAACTGCCTTTGCAGGCAGACTACAAATTCAGTAGCACTGAGAAGGTTTTATATTTTCCCCTTTTAAAGACAGTATATAATTTCAGGTCACAGCGGAATTTCTGTGATTATTTCCTAGCAACCAATTCAAACTCATCCACTGGAAACACATTCTTAGGTCCTCACAAATACAGTACACACGCTAACAGAAGTCATTTGTGCTTGCAGGATAAATGCAGACCTAAGTCAGAGAAGGATAACAGAACTTCTTATCATCAGTCATTCTGAAGAGAGATTTTAGGGTTTTTTTCATCAGAAGAAGAGTAGCATGTTAGCTTTTCAAAAATACATTTATCCAATCTTCACAATGTGCTGTAGCATTTTCCTTCACAGTTAATCAACTGTGATTAAAAGATAAGTAGGTATGCTTAAGTGACTTTCTGGATTAGGGTCTTGCATCAAAGGCTCATAAAACTGTTTCCACTATTTTGAACCCAAGCTTAGCCAAAAAAACAAAAACCCTTTGACTTTATTGGGCTTTCCAGCGTGATACTTCTGATCCAGAGTAGACCACACAACACAACAAATACCAACAAGTATACCAAATGACAACAAATGTAGGAAATACTAAAACCAAAACCCTCCTTACGAGAAAAGCTCCATCTTGACTCCTGGGACACAGGGAACAATGAAGTGATGGAAATCTTAGCTTATTCTGGAATATTAGACCTTTAATTAGTTTATTACTTTCCACTTTTTAAGTCTATTAACTGATAAAGTAAGCCTTTCTGCTATCCTTTAACATGCAATGTTTTAGAAAAACACATCAGAGAGTGCTGGTCCAAGAGCACACCCCGCTCAGAAAGCAGGTGCTGGTGGAGGAACTCCTGGTTTGCAGATGGACAGGCTGAGCAGACCTGTCTCTCTGCACAGCCTATGGCACTGGGCTAGGTGGGGAAGGACACACAAAACTTCACCTTAATACTGCTGCCAGGAGCCCAGGATTTTTCAAAATAAATAAACACAAGAAATCTCAAACCACAGTTTATATTCTTCAGTTTTATCCTTGAAACAGGTTTCAAAAACATTGCTAGAATTTTTATATTGGCAGGAGGTATCTGCAAAATGCTTAA